CTTGAAGTACGGCTGATGCTGCTGCTGTGGCTGCTGCGGTTATTGCTGCTGTTGCCGCGCTGCCGTCCTCCGTTGTCCTCTCGTCTTCCCCCTATCTTCCATGTTCCCGCCCCCGCCACCACGGTTATCACCGCCAGTGACGAGGGCANTGGCGGGTAAGGCGGCGGGTATACCTGTTGCTCCTGCTTGAAGTACGGCTGATGCTGCTGCTGTGGCTGCTGCGGTTATTGCTGCTGTTGCCGCGCTGCCGTCCTCCGTTGTCCTCTCGTCTTCCCCCTATCCCCCATGTTCCCGCCCCCGCCACCACGGTTATCACCGCCAGTGACGAGGGCATACGCCCCCACGCTCTCCGACGCCCTCTTCCTAGCGGCCTCCGTCTCCGCCTAGGCAGTCAGAATCACCTTCCCTACCAATTCCGTCTTGACCTCCGAATGCGCCAACAACACGCTCCTCTGCACATTGAAATCGGGCATAAGGTTGCGTACATAGTGGACGTTAGCATCATGATCGGATTGCACCCAACCGTACGCTTCTAGTTTCTGGCGAAGTACTGATGCTCTTGTGAGATAGCGCCGGGGCTCCTTCCCTACTTGCTGCTTCAACGAGTACCACTGCCCCTGCCACTCCAACTTGTCCGTTTCTGCGTGCACTCGGTATTAGTTGAGAAATTGATCCCACGATTCAGTGGGGCAACCACTAGCTAGGATTGCAGGGACTATCGTCGGTACTTGTATCTTGGAGATTATCAGCTGCCATGCCTTAACCGCCCGAGCTACAGCTACCGTCCCATGCTCCACCTTCAACGCCGAGATATCCGCATCAGTCTTCCCTACACTAATCGTGTTCTTCGATTCTATTGCCCCAAGGCAACGCTCCTGCTCCAACAAAGATCGAAATCGACTGGTGAACACCATTACCGCCGTCTCTACATCGTCCTCGGGGTTAAACTTCCCGGTGAATGCAGGGATTGTGATACCTGCGCTAATACGTATTGTTTCTTTAGGGGTTGGGACTTCCCTGTATTCATCCTCCGGTGTTATCTTGACCCTCTGCAAGGCCCGCGCGAGGGTGTCGATGAGGCTGACGTCCGCCGGCGATCGGGGCTGGTCTTCGGGTCGCGGGCTTGACTCCGAGCCAGCCGGCCTCTCCAGCCGGGTGCCGCCTCCTTCGGAAGGCATGCCCTCGCTCTGTGTTGCGGGGCGCTCTGCTGCTGCTGCTTCTTCTACTTTGATCTTGACCTGCTCCTTGATAAGGGCGTCGATTACGTTTCGCTGCTCGTCCGAGAGCTGGAGCTCATCCAGCTGCTGCTCCATGATTTCCGTGTCACTGTTCTCTGGCCGAACCCTTTTGTAGCTAGCCCCACCTCGGGGTCCCGTTTGATATAACAACGCTAGCGTGTTAGGATAATCCGAACTGGGGGTAGCTTGTCGCAAGACGTGTGTTGAATGGGGGTATCGGCAACTCGGCGAGCTTGCGCCGAGGAGAAAAACTTGTTGTGATTAGTTGCATCCACATACACGCACAAGCCCTGTTGAGGGGGCGACGCCGTATACAACAGGGGTACCTAGCACTTCCCTGGAATCCATTCTACGTACCACACATGTCACCCGGTATTCCGCTCTACCTCATTCCATCCATCGGAACATCCAGCACCAACCACTTGGCACTGCTACAAGTATATCTATCAAGCGTTTTAGCTTTCGTTTGGTCGTGAGGTTGAGGGGGAGCTTCAGCGTCGGTTGCCTGTTGCACCACGTATCATGGCATTCAAATTTGTGTCGGTGCACATAGGAGCCAGCTGTTGTTACATACATAAGGGAAGAACACCAACATTAGCCTTGTTTGATGCTGATTAATCGTATGGAAGGTTTGGTGTGACATGTGGCGCTGAAGAGCAGCCATTAGCTTTCGCGGATGTTTGTCTTCCCCTGCCACGACAGGTTCGAGCAAAGTGGAGGGACGAGTTTTCCTTTGCGTAGGGTCCTAAGCGGTACATATACTGGCAAGTTGGTGAGGTGTTCCGTGTTACTCGTCGGCTGCTCTTCTCTTGCACAGTAGCACGCTGGCCTTGCACTGTACTCCCGTCTTGTTTGTAACGGCTGTCTGCGCCACGAGAGTGCGCTTGCTCCACGTGAGGTTGGAGCCGTGAAGTGTCTGCCCCCAGGCTCTGTAACACTGTACATTCCTCGTGGCACCCAACCGTGCATCAGAAGGTCACGACATTCTGCTTTGAGTGCCACAGATAGGGTTTTAACAGGGTTTTCGCCTGATTGAGAGCGGCGTATACGATTGAGAGCGGGAGCCAAAAAAATTGAAATTTCGGGTCCAGACGCCTCTTGCCATTTCTTGGGAAGTAGGGGGCGGGCTCTTCCAAAAGCGGCGCAAATTGAAGGTCTCATCAGCAGCGTCAGGAGCATATGCGTGTCATCGCGATCGGATGCTGCAGCTAGGAGCTAGACAAGTTGCTAGATTTCCCCAGATTGGCTATTCCTGCCTCAAACTGTTTCAGGGCGATTTGATCGCGGGCGGTGAGCTCTGCTGTAGATTCTGCTCCCCGCTGTAGCTCCACAACGAGAGACGCCCACAGGATGACCAGGGTATCGGCTTGTAGCTACGGGCTAGGCCTTCAATTCATGTCACGCAGCAAGCTCCACCTTTCAGCGGTAGTCCAGCTACAGCGCATCGCGCAATCTCGCTCTCAATCAGAAACTTCGCTCTCAATCACACGAAAACCTTGTTTTTTGTCGATGTCGTGGGCTTTTATCGACGTTTCGGGTGTGCTGATTTGTCGCTTGCGGTCGCCGTTGCTTCGTTTGTTGCCGACAGGTTTTGGACTTTTTCATGACCCACACGAAGGGAAACCTGTGAGTACAAGCACTTTTCCTAGCCTGCTGGACGATCATTTGCTTCAATGAGCAGCTATCGCGCAAATACACAGCATCGCAGGCAACTAGTTTGAGTAGAACGGCGTACAGGTTGAGGTGGCAAGCAGTCTGACCATTTTTTTACAGTCGAAGAACGAGGGCGGTGGGCTCATCGGCAGATCTCTGTTGTTGACAATTCATTTGCAAGAAGAAGCAAAGATCATCGCTGCCCTTGCAGGCCACATTAACTGGCCTTCGCGCCTACCATATTTTCGCGATTTCGTTGCGATTTGTGCTCGTCCTAGCCAACATCACGTATGCGTGCATTGGCTGCATCGCTACCTGCTACCACGTGAGGCCCCCCTTCTCGTAATGTGGCATTCCAAATCCTCAAGTAGTGGACTTACAGGCAAACATCCCTTGGGAGATGGAAATATTCCCTCTCTGTACCTCGGTCCTCCAGCTATTTGAGGATTGTGCTTTTTTTGGCATATTTTCAGGATTAGGTCTGCCTTGGCCTTCGTCTTACTCGATGGCTGGCTGCATCATGTGTCTCGTTCCCTTTATCTCTCTCATAATTTGTTTAGGTTTGTTGACCTTATGATGCGCAGGAATCGAACCGGGCAGATCCAAGAGTGCTCTTTCCAATACCTGGTGCTGATAGATGGTATATTTTTGCCGTCGGTGTTCTTGGTCTTCTCTTTGAATGCGTCGAGGCTTTTCTTGTGTTTCTCGGTACGATCGATTGCGTGTGTGGCCGTTACTTGCAGGCTGTCGCCTTGTCGCCCACTGGTATCGGAGTACAACCGCGATAACAATGGTTGATTGATTTGTGCGTAGGTGGTGTGCAGCGTTGCGTCACATCCCGTTGGTACTGAGTATCGAGCATCATCAGGACCAAACTTCCGAATATCATGTTATGGAATTCATTCCGACCCAGAAAGAGCGCAAAGTACGTATTGCCGGTCTGCATGCAACCCATTAGGGTCTTGCCTAGACCTGACAGCAGCACACGAAGGATGTCTATTTTTTTTTTTTCCTGCTCCGGTAGCTGCGATTTCGTACAATATGCTCGTAGCTGAGTTTAAGGTGGTGTCGCACATCTCTGATACCGTGCGAAACGGATTTCAACCTAGCCATGTGGTCCTGCCATGTTTTCCTCTTCTTGATCGTGGCCAACGGGCCCTGTCGCCGTGGAAACAGCGGGGCATTTCTCTATTGTATCATGCACCAAATATGGTACTTAGCATGTTTTTTCAATGACGAGGGTAAAGAAAAGCGCCACCCCCGCGTTTCCCGCAAAATCCCACGTAGTAATGCGCGCTGCAGACCATCGTCACGAGTAGCGCGTTCCGCGAAGTACCTTCGGTAGCCCTTGGTGGGGCTACACTCAATCCTCCCACGCGGTCGGCGCCTTGTCGTGTGACATGATGGTGTGCGAGCCCTCCCCCGCCTAATCACACCGCCCCCCCTACCGCCGTGTGTTGTTGTTTTCTTGTTTGTGTCGTGGGAGCAATGCTACGGTAGGGGGGACACTTTTAAAGACATGTGTCACATGCTCGCTTCACCGGTTTCTGGCGGGTGCTCCCATGGCGCGCCAGCTGCGCTTCGACACCCGTGTCGTCAGGCGGGATGGCTTAAGGTACATGTCGCCATCGAACAATCTTCCTCCTTCGTTGCGAACCACTCGACTTTTGGGTGGCGTGAGCACCATGTGGCTTGGTGTTCGCGCACAAAGAAGGTTGTCTCAGGAGCTCGTTCGGACGTAGGTGGTGTTAGGGTTAGGTTCGGGGCTGAACGATGTGTGCTTTGAAATGTTTGCGAGGATGTCGACGGGGACTTGCGCCGAGCAAGAGAGGGCGGGAGGGAGGGGGGGCGACCAGCGGTTTCTTGGCAATGACCTCAAGCGAAGAGACGGAGCCCACACACAATTATTTTTGTCTTGTCTTATCATGCTGCATAAATCGTTCGTCGTTTTAAACCCCTCCTCCCATGCTCCGCCCTCCCCCCCCGGTGTTTGCCATCGGGGTTGGGTTTTCGTCGCTTGGCAACGACGTCGTATCACAAGCCAATTCACTTCGTGAGCTCGGCAACCAGGTCACCGTTGTTGTTTTGTTCCTCTGTTCTGCTTTGGCGGTGACCATAACGGTGGTCGAGTGGATCATGTTGTGCGGGGTGGAGAAGCCTCACTCCGTGCAAGGGGGAAGACCGCACCACGTTCTGTCAAATGGTCAAGCACCCTCGACGCAGTTACACAGTGCCTTTAACTGTCTCTGGAAGTGAAAGCACCAGACAAGTACTCAAGTCATACGCAGCTGTCATCCGTACGCAAGGAAGTAAGCACAAGATGCCGAAAACCCTTAGCAGGATGCAGCGCACCCTTCATGCGACTCGCCGAATATCTCACGGCGCTTCGCGCTTGGTGATGTGAGAGCCTGGTCCGGTGAGAACCCGGCGTGCTCCGTCCCGGCTTTGTAGGGATGCGAGGTCAATGGTCTAACGACTACGGCATGCACGACTATGAGTACACCCCCCCCCTCCCCCGCCCCCATGCTCCGCCCTCTGGAGGACGCGTGGTCAATGGTCTAGTGACTACGGCATGCGAATCATGAGTACGCGCCCCCCTACTACCCTATCCCCTCTTGTGCATTGCCAACGAATCGCCTAACGCCAACACAACAAGGTTTTTGTGGTGGCCGCGCTGCGGGACCCCACCTGCGGCAACAAGCTCCTAGCGGAGGGAGAGGGCCTGTTCTACCTCAGGAAACGGCCATCGTCATCCCAGACACAGCAGCAACCCCCGCTAACAACGCGGCCGCAGCCACCACCGGACGTCCGCACGACGACGGGATCGGATGATGCACGATGGATTCCACCACAATCTCGCTTCCGTTTTGCGCAAAGGAGTCATTTTGTAGCGAGATCACGAGGTGTTGCGAGCCCCACCAAGGGCTCTCGCCCAACTTTCCCTCTTCTACAGAGATTCTTTAACGTTGCCAGGGAAGCGCCAAGGATGGGGGGGGTGCTCTCGGTGCCACGTGGTTGTGCTAAAGCACTGGATCATTTTCTCAAGTGCTGCCGCCGCCTTTGTTCTTGGCTTGATGTGGAGTGTGTTGCTGAGTTGTGATGCGCAGACCTGCGGGACTAGCTGCAGACAGCGTGCCACGGCTTTTTCTCTCTCGTGTTGGAGAAGTTTCGAACGTATCCGAGTGTGTCCTGTCGCCCACTGAAGTAGGGCATGTTGTCCGTTTTCAAGGGACTATACTACTACTGTTACAACGGAAACCAAAAATCTTGCCAGACGGACTTTTGGTAAAGAAAGATGATACGGTGCTGCCGCCATCATCTCATGACCTAATGGTTTGTAACTCGTCATCATTTTCGCGTCGACAATGTCGAGTATGTGTTGAAACACCTGACTTCAAACGCCTGATACCCCGTCGGATCCATAAAGCATAACTTGCGGAGGTGTGCGTTCTTGAATGAAAAATTGAAGGCACACTGGGTTCTTCAAATCACGAAACAATGGCACCATTCCTGGAACCGTTCGTAGAAGAGTTAAGTGATTGGACGTGAATTGAATGAAGTCTCTCGTGCCCAAAGAAAACGAGTACAGTGTGCATAGCTTTCTCATGAAAGTTCTCTGAAACTTCTTGTGCGGACTAGGATATAGTATTGATGTTTGGGATGTGCACCCCGCAGGACCGCAGGAGGGAGCAACCGTTCACATGAGATGCTCCTACGCGTGACGGACGGAAAGCCAAAAAAATAAGGGTAATCTTCCCCCGCTTCTCAAAAGGAAAAAAGCGGGGGGGCATTCGCGTCCAGCGGCGTGGACGAAACTCCGCAGCCTACATTGAAACTCTCTTCAATCGTTCTCTCGATCGTATGTTTACGCACCAGGAAGTGTTTCACCTGCCTTGGTGTAAAAAAAACAACCGCCAGTTTCAACATGATACAAAACTGTGCGGGTGGGTGGGAAAGAAATGTAGAGTCACAAGCACGCCCGAACACTCTTGCAGACTCTTCTTTCTCGCCTCACAAAACTCAGATTTCAATGCATGCATGCGTCTCTGCGGGCTTCTGCTTTGTTCGTTTCTTTCGAATCTTACATTTGGTATCGATCGTTCCCCCCCCGCACGCTTGACCAAGG